TTTCAATATAATGGCATCAAGATGGCTGGTGTCGCCATGGCAATTTGCTAGTGACAATTAGTAACTATTTTCAAAATCGACATTACTTGATGGACTTTATGTAAATTTATAACCAGTTTACTTCTTATTAAATGTATTTAATTTACCTACAATAGTTTAATAAGTAAGTATTTATTATTTTATCAAGAAAAATAAAGAAGTAGTTCTTTGATTTATATTACGATGACTTGTAGATATATTGGATTTTCTATAAAAGAACCAATTAAGGCAAATTCATTTTCTTCACTTCCAACTACAGGTTTCTGCCTAATAGGTTTTTCAGATACCACACTATCAGCTCTGCGAAATAGGAAATGTAGTATTTCAAAAAAACTCTTGTCAAGGAAATTTCTATTTGGATATCTTTCAGCATATACCCTTCAGGCCAACAAGCAAGTAGTGTTCTCACAAAATAAAATCACTAGTAACATATCCATTCCTGCAGATATTGCTTCATTCTTCTTGATAAAATAATAAATACTCAATTATTAACCTTATTGTAGGTAAATTAAGTAAAAATAACCTGTTATAAATTTAAATAAAGTCCATACACTAATGTCGATTTTGAAAATAACTACTAAGTGTCACTAGAAAATTGCCATGGCTACATCAGCCATCTTGATTAAAATTTTATTGAAAAATCGCTTTTTATTCAAAATCTGAGCTAGATAGGTATAGGAAACCCTAATATAGTTTGAAAGAGCATTTAAATCTGCTTCGACTTATCTAAAAAAATACATAGTGTTGCATTTAAAATAACGAAGTTTTTATGTAAAATAAATAGTTAAAATAGACCAGCAATTTTTGATACCCCTGTATACATTTTAGGAAGCAATACAGTTTTTTAGTAAAGTTTATTTCTCTGGCCTGAAACTCAGCACAAGAATTAATTCTGAAAAGCAATGTATAAGGTGTTGACAAACTTTTTTATTATGGCACGCATATTTAAATATCTCAAAAACGAAAGCTTTTAAACATATTAAACCCTTATAATAAATGCCTTATTTTATGTCCAAGAATCCAAAAATGAAATAAAATACCTGGCGTTCTATAAGAAAAAATATAACTTTGGTATAGATCTTAGTTCTGACACACCCTGTACATTTCAAAATAATTTTAAATGATGCAAATTACCTTCCCACATATACCCATAAAATGTTTTGTTTCTACATCTTTTCGTTTTCGTATAATCAACCGAGGCGAATGAGGTGCGCCACCCTGTATATGCAAATATAAATTGCTTAAGTAAAGCGATGTTTTCGTTAAATTCCCAGTTAATTGACTTCCTTGATCGTCGGTAATATTAAAAATAACTTACTCCTGTTTTAACACAAAACAAAACTGTCAGAAGACACGTGTACGCACAGACTTTTGACAAAAAAAAACAACTGCTATGTATAGGCCGGCCGTTTTAGAATTTCGAAAATAGTTCAAAATTGTATCCAACAACTACTGTCAGCAGTTTTAAAATAACTCAGTCTTGGGCATTCTTGTTATTTGGGGCAAAAAATTGTTTTGTTACTATCTATGGCTATTCTCCATAAAAAAGTAGATATGTATATTTCAAGGAAAATACAGAATTCTGTAGTGTTATTTGAAGTTTTAATTTCATACAATTGAAATTCCGGCTTATCTTGAGAATCTTAAATATATCCATATTACAGGGTAAAATAAAAATTTATGAGATATAATTTAGGTAATTTAAATTAAATCAATATGAATATATGGTGTGATACTAAACTTTAAAAAAATAATAGACAATTGCAAATAAAAAAAATCCAGAAGGTTTTATTTTCTTAAAAAATTAACTGTTGACAATTTATGTTTAATGATGATCACAAGTACAGGGTGGCGCTGGCGCCTCTCATACCCCGCGGAGGCTCCAAGGAGAACGACAGTTTGTATTGAAATTAAATTTTGTGAGCATATGTAGTTTAATTCAGAGCACTTTTTAAAAATATAGAAAGTTCTACAGGGTATCCTCAAAAAAAGTTACATATCAAAGTTGTGTTTTTTTGTAATGGAACACCCTATATATTAATTGATTTTCGGATTCTGGGATAAAAATAAAGGTGAGTTTTATAAGAGAAGTATATGACTAAAATATAAGGTTTTTGACATATTTGACATTTCCTAGAAATAAAGAACAATTTTTAAATTACAATAAAAGCTACCTAAATTGGAATTTACCCGGTATAGCCTAATATGTAGTTAAATTAACTATTGTACTTTAAACCAAATTAAAACTTGATCCAAAAAGTTATACAGGGTGAGACAAAATTAATATTGAACATTGGTCACTTTTAAAGGCAAGTTACTCTTTTATTTTTAGTTTTAGATTATTGTGTTTTAACTTGTGTTTTATAGATTAGATTGATGTGTTTTAACAGAAGAAGTATACCAAAAAACAAAAGAACTAAACATAAGACAATTAATAATATATCATAATATATTACTTCTACATAAAATCAAAAATAAATTAATAAAAACAAACATTTCTTTAAAAACTAACAAACAAATACACACTTACGAAACTAGAAGAAAATCAGACATCAGAACAGCCAAAAGAACACAAAAAAAACTCTCACAAAAACTAACAACAGAGACTACCACAATATATAATATGTTACCAAATGAATTAACAAAATTAAATTATAAAAATTGACTCAAAGGAAAAAAAAAATTAAAACATGATCTTTGAGGAGAGCGTATAAACGTAGACGACAGACCAATTTATAGAAAAAAAGAACAATGCCTTCGATACCACCTGCCCAGGGAGAGTCCTAAAAGACTTGAAACTGTTGCAGATGAAGAAGGACGCAACCAACAACTGCCACGAAGTTAAAGCTTAATAATATTATTGAATTGTTTACTTTAAACAGTTGTATATATTTAGATAATAAATCCCAAGCAGCATTTGGACGTCGGGACAACGTTGTGTCACGCGACCAAACGTCGGGGCGCAACGTCGGTACAACCTCGTGCCAACCCTAGTCTGCACTAGTTTGGAGAATAATTTTTGGGTCGAAACGACGTTGGATACCGACGTTGGCTAGAAGCCTAATTTAGTACAAACTGCAACGTTGTTTAAAATCCTAATTTACAGAAATACAAAACTAATATGGCGTCTAAGTCGCGTTTTATCCTAACTTGGGATAATTATAGTAAAAATATTATTTTTATGATTTAGTTAGAGACATATGTCAGATGACAGTGAAGGAAAACAAAACAAAAGTATTTAAGTGTGGAGGGTGTGATAATTATTGAAACATAATCATTGAAACACCTTAACCGACTCTGTAACTCGTTACCCAAGGCAAAAAAGTTAAACGCAAACAACTTTATTGATAAATGTATTGTTTCTACTTTGAAAAATACTAATGGGCCTTAAAATTAAAGAAGTTTTAAAAATTTTCTTGAATTTTTTTTTAGTAAAATGAGAATAATTTATTCGCAGTAGAAAAAATTGTTCGCGTGTTTTTAGGGTCAAATATTTCAAGTTAATGTATTCAAAAGCAGGAATTGCTATTTTAGGTTTATTTAACAACATGGCGGCTTTCGCTTTGTTGTTTTGGAGATTAAGATGGAGTAGTTCCAGTAGTCGCATACTTTACTAATAAAGTCGCAGTTCGGTCTTAACAGGTAGTATACTAGTCGCAAAATTGCCTAATTTAGTCATCCTAGAGTCTAGCTTGTGCCGCCCTCTATAATCTAAATAAACGAGGGAGTGGATAAACTATCGGTAATATATGTCGATGTATATTTAAATTTAGTTTTATATGTACCTTTCTTATGTCCCATTTTAATTAAGTTTTTTTTTATTAAAACAAAAACAGCACTGAACTGTCTGACTGAACAGAACAATGAAGTGAAAATTTAAGATTTAAGGTTATGGTTCAATACAGTTATTAAAAGGTAGTGACTCGACGTCCTACCAACGGTAAGAATAAGGAAATCTAAACAACGTTGGAATTAGTAAACCAGACGACGTTTGCATAACGTTGGAATAGGTTCTGAAACTGACGTCGGAAAACTCTATATTGTCCAACGTTGTAACTACGTTGTCCGAATCACCTAAAGATCACTTAAGCAAAAAAGGTTACAAGACAACGTTTATTCGACGTCGCAGAAGCTTCTACTTTGCTGTAGTATTAGTCCAACGTCGGCACAACGTTATAAAAACGTTTAAATTTATTTTAATACCAAAGGTAGGGAGCTAACTATTTTTTGTAACTAATCCAACGTTGTGTTTAGTAAACATGTGGTCGCAAGTCGTGAAAATGCTACTTGGGATATTATTTATTATTATTAAAAAATGGAACACCTTCAAAATACTATTAAGGCTGCCTACTTCTCAAACAAAGATTTTCCTAGATATTTTCATTTACATGATTTGATCTGATTAGATCTTTATTATTTGATAAAATCTAGGTTGCTGTGATATGTCTGACGTTACTTCAACACAGCTGTCTAATTATAGTCCAACTTTAACAACTAGTTATCATTTTGTGTCAGTTAAAAAAAATTCTCAGAAATTTGCCGAAAATGCAAACTTATCCTACATGAGAGAGAATTGATATGATTCTGTTAGTTGGTAAATGCAGTGTGCATTCACCAATTAATGAAATACTTAAGTGCACCTGATTTTATCTAGTCTGTTTTTTTATGGGGATATGTTAAAGACAGTGTTTACAAAACTCGACCAACTATTGTCGACAATATGAGAGAATTTATTGTAGCTGCTTTTCGAGGTAGAACTCAACACATATGCCTTTTAAAACTGATCCTTTTGAAACGACAATCGTTTTATGCAGTTTTCAGGAAAGGAAGCATGTTGAGCATTTGATTTCATCTAGCTAATTTTTTATATAATAAAACATAATTAAAGGTTGAAAATTAAATTAAATTTTGGTTACCTAAATTACAAAATCACTAGCATAAATTTCCAGGATAAAACTTACCTTTGAATAAGCCCATGCTTCTTGGCGATAAACTCCACTTGCTCTTCTAAAATATTTCTCAATATCAACTCGTTCTTCCTTACTCTACTATCAAGAGCATCCGCTACCGTTTTTAAAATCATCAATAGTTCAGATTTGCCCATATCCTCGCCAGAAAAACCAGCATTAATATCGTTAAGCTCCACGAGATACTTCGCCAATTTTTTGTCAATTTTCAAATACTTGTCATCGTATTTGAAACCTTTAAAGGCATCGACTGTTTCCTTGATTTTGAATATTTCTTGCAAGAAACCTTTAACAATATCTTTGTCTTCGGAATCTACGCTGCTCTCTTTGTCAGCTTCTTTTTGATTTTTATCCGAATTTCTAACAATAATGTTCTCGTATATGTTCTCGCTAGGCAAGTTTTGAATAGAGTCCGTGCTAGATCTGAACGTTGAAAAAGATATCCTGTTAGGTGAGGGTTCAGGCGTGGCAGATCTTGAGTCGTTTCTTATGGAAATTATGTCTTCGGAAGAATGTTTTTTCGAATTGAGGCTCTTGTTCAAGGTGTACTTCGACAATGGTTCTATTTTGGGATCTGAAATTTAGAACAAAATGAATCACTGAATGTTAGCAAAATTAAACTAAAAAGTTCATCTTGTCCTTCGTTCCGGCTATGTTTTGCACGTATTAAACTCCAAATGCCGCGGCTCGTAACGCCAACAAGATAAGGTATACTACGTATAGAAACCATAACGGGTTAAGGTGCGATAGATATAGTTTATACTAAGGACTGGCAAAGGTTAGTCTTGGGTCCAGATTTCCATATGTAAGAAGAGTACAAAGCGTTTATAATGTACTGAACAAAGAGAGGACAGTAAACACGTTGCCAAACGTATGAAGTAAACTGAGAAACTGTGCACATCGCTAAGAGACGTGGAAGGGGATATAGCAGATTTGTCGCAGTTGACCGGTCGACCCAATCAATACCTCTGTCAGTACTTAAAGTTCTAGGGAAAGGTGTAAGTCATGCGTTCAGCTTCACGATTTAATTACGTCTCGTGATACTTAATTTGTTTATTTATTAACGAGTCGTTGTAATTTTCCCTATAGCTTGAATTTTTTTAAGTGCAAGCTAGAAACACTTGCATTTTTGGTAAAAATAAGTGGAATTGAGGGTGTTCGATAGTGGTCGCGCTATTAGAACTCGATATCTCAAAATCGATATCTCGAAATCTATTAGAAATAATAGATTGTAGTTTTTTCAAGAACTTTGTTAATATTTCTGCTGTATTTTCTTTGTAGACGGTATGTGAAAATCTTTATTAATAAAATAATTACACGATTGCTGAAAATTGCTATGCTCTAAAAGTAAATGGATGGATTGTTTACAATTTTTGAATGGAAAAAACAACCTTATCGAATTTTTCTTATGTAAACATATTGTAAAATATCCGATCTTGAAAATAAGAAAAAACATTAAATATCTCAAATGGTTATTCAGTTATAGCCTGTTATGTGTTAAAAAGTTGAGTTTTTAAATTATCGCGATTACTGACGTTTTCTCGTTATAAAAAAAATGACACCCTAACGATATCCTTATAATTCCAGAAACATGTCTAATGATTTTATCTAGTTATCTCTTGAAAAAAAGTCTTTTAAAAATAAGCGGTTTGCGATCGTGATTTTACTTTACTTGATAGGGAAAGGTGTATCGGCAACGCCGCAACAGCACACCGTCGCACGTCGCGTCGGTCGGTCGCATTTCGCTCACTCTGGCTTAATAAGATCCCTATGCGATTTACTTCCACACATGTAAATGCCGACCCAAAAGTAACAGTTGCCAGCACGGTATTGGCCATTGACCCCGCCATTCATAAAACGATTTCAGTCGTTGGAAAAATTCCGTTTGGGCAGTTTGGGTTTTTATAAAAACTCAAATTATAAAACAATATATTTATAGGTTTTTGTATCGTTTATCGCGTGTAATGTTTGGTTTAGTCAATATAAAGCAATATTTAAATTTTTAATATCGAAAGAAATCCCATCTAGTTTTAGGTGTAGCGCGAAATGTGTACAGGCAATCATTCATAATTTTCTGGTTATGGATAAATAATGATGAACTGTGGTTGACTGATTCTGGAATAGATATTATAAAATAGACAACATGGTGTTTAGTTTGTGATATCGTGCGGTTAAAAGAAAACAATTGCTTAAATTTCGAAAAGCGTTTAGAGAAAGAACGCCGCATTGATTTAAAATATAAAAAAATGTGAAATAAAATTTTTAAAATTGTGTATGTGTATTATATGCATTTATATTTTTGTGACATTATCATGATTTGTGACATATTATACGATGTGTATTTTAAATCCTACCGTGGAAAATTTGAGTAAAGAATATTGACTGGATTTTTAGTGAAATGACACTAGACCACCTGTTTAAAAATGTAAAGGTAGGTTCCAATTTAACAGAAGGAAACCAATTAAATTTGGGTGCGTCTTAAAAAAAACCGACGCAATATTTTTAGATATTGACCTCCCTACAATAATGATCACGAGCCGCCACTGGGAGGTGTGCACATTCCTTCCATAACATATCTTCAGGATGGATTAACCTGATATACAATGTCAAAGGCCATACAACAATACCTATCAAAGACCGCTGACAGGATAATAGTTGATTATAGGTTCGTTCCAACCAGCATTTCGGGATCGTTTCGAAATCGTACCCGAATCGGTTTTCTTGCACTTGCGCATGCGCGGACTTAGACTAGCGAATAGTTTCGTGACGGTGCAAAAAGTATCAACGTTGGAACGCTTTGTGCATTGTTTTCGGGACTGTCAAAAGTGTCAGGCGTGCGTATATCGATCGGTTTTTGTTTTTGTGTAGAATTTCATAACATAACCTTATTATTTTTGTTTGCAATTTGCAATAATAATAATTATTATTATTCTTGAAATGGAGAATCAGAATCCAGTAATTGTTGGCAAGTGTTGTTTCAACTGTATACTCACTATAACTCACTTACCTATCCTCTCTTTTATGATCCTGTTATGCGTAGTTTCCTGTTATTTCATTGCAGTGGTAGAATCTTTGAACATTATTTTATAAATAAAAGATTAATTAAAATTTCCGAACGATTTACTCCACACAAACTCACAAGCAAAAGTATAACGCACACGTATTCGAATTCGTAAAAAATAACCAAGACAGAATGGCATGACCCGGACGCCGGACCAGAATCAGCTGTTAATGCTGTTAAGAATCGATAATCCCTGCCAATTTGCTTTAATGCGCAAGTCAACCCAAACAGTTCTCAATTTGGACCATGTACCGAAATTACCGTTCTGCAATCGTAACTAAACGATCCCAAGGTAGGTTGGTACGCAAATAGGATCGTCCGATAACCGTCAAATCTCGATTGGAACACATTTGAATTATTGCGCACGAGCGTGATCGTTCGGTGACGGTTCTGCGGCGGTTTGGAACAAGCCTTATGTTGAGAAAAATTAAAGTATATTTTGATATCAATTAAACTTTTAGTTACGTAATCCAGGGCGCGATTTTTAAATTCATTGTTGCCAACCACGGACATATTCGGCGCCAGATTGACTAACTGGAATTTAAATTTCGCGCTGGGAATTCAGGTGGTAGCTCTGCTGTAAAAATGTCAAGTTGCCAGATTTATTTATATATTTCCTGACGTTGTCACTCGTTTTGACACTTTAGTTTTGTATTACGAGTTTTTGGTTTAAATAAACAGTGTTGTGATACTTTAAGCAGAAAAATGTTTACTAGCAGACCTTGCAGTCGAACATTGTTCCTTTTGGAACGTGTGTGTTAGTGCGAAAGGTGTGCTTAATAGCCGTAAAAAACTCATCGCAACTTTATTAGAATATGTTGAAAGGGAAAGCAGTAGTAATGGCCCTTTATGTCCCTGAAGTGCTGTTAAGAAGGTGAGTTTTGTTGATATAAATAATAACTGTTTATACATCATATTTATAATTAATTTATTTTTGTTTCCTAAAATATTTTGATTAAAAAAAATATGTAAAAGTGGGCATCGCTGTGCCGGTCAAGCTTAATCACGTCACTAAAAGTTTATTTGGTTTGAACTGTTGTTAAATACTACGTAACACCATATTTACTTACTTTCAATAATTGGTGTCTTCCTATCAGCTTGAATTGTTACTGAATCGCTGATACGATGCGGCATAATATTTTCTTCAGCAGGTTTTTCCTGTCTATCTGGCATCTTAGTCCTTGGAGAAACGATGGGTTTCTTTCTGTTATTCCTTAATTCGATGTTTTCATTAACACCACTAGGCAGTTTAGGACTAGCAACATTGATAGCTTGTTTCCGAGGACTTTTATTCAGATTAAGACTATTTTCAACGACGTTTTCCTCGTTTTTACGAAACTCCATGTATCTTTCTGAAAACTGTGTTGGTTTCAGTTTGAATCCTTTCAGTTGCTGTTCGAATGGACTGTTAAATTCCCCTGTCAAATCTTCGATGGAGCCCTTGTTAGCCGAGGACGAGGAAACGCAAGAATTGAAAAGTTTCCTTATAGGTATGGGTGTTCTTTGCGAGTTAGACTTGAACGAATTCGATTGAGATACTGAAGAGTTGAATGCTTGACCTGAAAATTAAAAAGTGTTGTCAGTATTTTGATAATTTTGAACGACTATATATCTATTATTTAACATCGATGTTTGGGATCACAGCCTATCCATAACCAGCCTGACGATTTACAATCATTTGCATAAAAATCTGCGTAGGTACCTATCTATATTCGTACCAATTACACTTTTAGTTACTTAACCGAGGAGGGCGATTTCTAAATTCGTTGTTGCCAACCATTGACATATTCGGCGCTGGGCTGACTAACTGGAATTTAAATTTCCCGCTGGGAATTCCGATGCTCTGCTGTAAAAAATGTCAAGTTGCCACATTTATTTATTTGTTTAGAATAGGCAATTACTTAGAACTTCCCGTTCAATCTCAAATGATAGTTTAGGTTTTAGTTTTACCTTTTTTGATCTTAAAAAGAACTTTTCAAAATTAGTAATTAGTAACGATCTAGTTAGTTCGCAATCGATAGATAGATTGCTTTATTTGACCACATTTTGTACAAACAAGATATAATTGTGGCATGTCATAAAAACAGTTAAATCTATATAAACTAAAATAAAAATTAAAACAACATGTAAGTAAAATACAAATAGAGTGTATAAACAATGAATACAACATTTAAGTTAGGTCGGTGGTTAAGTTCATAATATTAAAATATTCCGCCACGTATTTAGCTTCCTGTGAAGTACTGTGTAATAGTTGTTTAATCTTGTATTATTAATAACTTCCTATACCTAAAATCAATATTTATTTTAATGAGAAAATTGTGTTTTTTTGAAAATATAAGACAAGATTTGACTTTCGGTCTTCTTCTTGTATTATGATGGCTCTGATACGAGGCAATTATCTTTTAGTCTCTCAATAAAGGGCATTTATCATTAAAAGTATCAAATCTGTGTGTTACAGTATGGGATTTCTATTGCATAATAATGAATATTATGTTTATTTACAAATCCATTACTTAGGTAGCTTAATCAGACAATCAAATTTTAGTTAAACGTCCCAATCTTTATATTAATATTTCCTGACATTGTCATTCGTTTTGACACTTTAATTTTGTATTACGAGTGTTTGGTTTAAATAAATAGTGTTGTAATGCTTTAAGCTTAAAAATGTTTACTAGCAGACCTTGCAGTCGAACATTGTTCTTTTTAGAACCTCTTTTAGATAGCTTAATAGCCGTAAAAAACTCATCGCAACTATATTAGAATATTTTGATAGTTTAAGCTTAAAAATGTTTACTAGCAGACGCAAATTTGCGATTCTAGGGAAGCAATCCCGCAAATGCTGGATCCCGCAAATGCGGGATCCCTCTGAGATTCCGCGGGATCAAAGTTGCGAAACTTACCGTGCGGGATCTGCGGGATCGACACATTACTACTGGGTAGCCGAATCGATCTCGATCAAGATCAAACCCCTTCGTTCCGGGCCGATGCGTCGACGCTCAGAACCCCGGGGATTCCCCTTACGGCTTAGCCATTAAAAATAAGTGAAATAAACAGGTTAATTGTTAGATTTCTTTCTGGCGTATGTGCGTAAGTGAAGAAAAGAGTTTAACTAGTACTTGTGGACAATTTCGTCAAATAAACTGCCGGACATAATTATCGGGACAAGCAAAATTTTAGGGTAAATTTAAAGTTGAATATCTCTTGAACTAAAAAAGATTTTGGGATGCGGTTTGGACCAGGTTGTATATACATCTATTGTGATTAAGATGCTATGTGGTTTTTTCGAAAATATATTTAGTGAATTCTCGTATACAGGGTGTTTTATAAGAGTGTGAAAATTTGGTCAAGAATCTTTTTTACCGCAAATTTACAGTTTTTAAAAAGTCGAAATTTTTACCATGTACGACTAATCTGTATTAAATTAAATGAGAAAAACAATTTGATCGATTTTTTATTTTTTTTTGTTTTAAGGAAAATACGACATTTTTTCCAAAAATATGCATTTTTACTCCTAAATGGTATAAAAAGCTTTGTACATTCTGCATATGCCAAAAAATTATTGATATAGAGTGTATGTAAAAGCAGATAACTAACACAAGTTAAAAAAACTTCAACATCAGAATAATATTTTTATTTATAAAATAAGTAGATAAATTATAATAAAATTTAAGTCTATTTGATATTAAATATATTTTTTGAACACTCTGTATACATCGGTCCAAATTTCTGTACAGCTAGTTTAAGATACACGCTTTATCATTATATGGGCTTATGCAAAATATACAATGCCTTTTGTACCATTTAGGACCAAATGTATGACTATTATTGTTTACAGTTTCGCAATTTTGCGGATCCGCGGGATTGATTGCTTTAATCCCGCGGGTTTGCGGAATTGAGATTTTGGGGCGGGATAGCATTCCCTACTTCTAACCCTTGTTTTGAATGCTGGGATGAAAATAAAGCGCTTTATATAAGTACTCATGTTCCATGTTGAATACTATAGTTGTATTGAAAATTAGTAATTTTTTTCATTGAAAAATACGTGAACTTTGCAAATAATAAAATCAAAACTTGTAAGAGTAAAAAAAAGTAAAAAAATGATGTCAATAAAATGACATATTGTTATGTGTTTCACAAAGATCCAACCACAGGTTCGGATATTATATTGGAAATTGCTATTCCCAAGAGACTTTGAGCAATTTATACCTGAAGATCTGTGTTCAGCTTTGAATCCTGAGAAACTCTCCGACTTGGCATTTGCTACAGATGTTGTACTTGGCGACTGGTTAAGGCTCTCCATCAGTTCTGTACGTTTCTGTCTAATTTGCATAAGTTTTTCCTGCATCTCATTTGTTGGCATAGGACAATCTGTAGTATTTTCCGTCTTCTCGCTTTTTGATTGTGGTCCTAAAATATTAAAAAATAATTTAAAATTAAAAAAATGTACAACATTCAATTCAGTAGGCATTCGAATATATAGTATGTAGGTTAGTACCTCCATATTCGATTCATCATGAAACTCATACATCTTGATTGAGAAGTACTCTGTAAGTCTGAAATTAATGTTTGAATTTGATGTGAATGAATTTTAAATTCTTAGACAAGTAGAGCACTCAAAGCTACTATAGAACTGGTAAAGAATACTGTACTGTTATAGAAAAATTCTTCATATGTTATGAACCAAACATTAGAGACAACCAGACAAGTACATTCAATAAGAAGGAACTTCTAAAGTAACTGAAAGTAAGTCTCTCAAATAAAATCCACTTACAATTAACAACTAAACCCTTGGCAGTAAAATTATATTTTGGTAATGCATGCACATTTTTACCCTCAAATGAGACTCCTCGACTGACCCCTGATTGATGACAATAATGGGCTCTTTCACTATATTTTGGAATTAGCATAATTGAATAAAGCAGTTAATTTTAGAATTTTCTGCTATCTCACTTTCGAAAAATTTGAAGTCGTTCTTAAGAAAATAAATAAAAACAAAAACCCCAGAATAAAAATCCGCACTTTATTTTTAATACGGCACACCTGGCATGTTGAAAAGCGGCAACACGGCCGGGCCACCATCCTGACCCACCACCACCTCCACACAAGGCCATTCAACCTTTTCCAATATGGCGGAGATAGAAGTGTTTTATTTGGCGCGTATTTTAAAACCTGTTTTATTTCCAAATAGACATGTTTCACACAAATGTCGGGTTAGATTACGTAATATATCACTATTTTTTTAATATACAGGGAGTCTAAAGGTCTCCACATAAGTATGGAATTTTTTGTATTATTACTTTTACGAAAACATCAGTTAGTAACTTTTTATAAAAAGGTCTGCTTTCTCAGAAAATCGGTAGTGTTAAAATATTCAAACATGAGGTAGCATATATAGGGTGTTCAAAATCGTCGGAAAAAGAAATAACCAGAAATATATGACAGAAAATAGCAATATAAACTAAATATTCAATTGCAAACACTTACCTACCATAGTTTAGAATTTACTGAACGTTTGATAAATATATACTATTATGGACAGTATAGAAAGTTACTTGTCTTAGTAAAAGCCTTGTTTATATATATACAAGGGTAAAAGCCTTGGTAAATGCTCTTGGAATTATAAACTACACTGGCTTGGGTCAAAAAATATGGAATATTTTTTCTATATTTTGCAGCATTACACAAATGGGAATAAATTTAAACTATAATAGGTGAGGATAACTAAAAAATATAATATGTGTTTCAAGATTTTATATAGAAAAAAAAACTAAATACCTTTTTGGGGGTTTGTAAGTAAAACTTACGCTTAGCTTAGTTTTCTTTACTCTTTCTCTTTACATAGGGCATTGTCTTTTTGGTAAAGACGTCATTCCTTTTTTTTTGCATAGTTCTTCAATAAAATATTGGATATTCTGAACAAGATGGATTTAATAATAAATCCTGACGTATGTGAGGGGCAATTGTGACCTAAAAAAAGACTTACATCCAGGCCATTTATATTTTCAAATGTCAATGTTGTCAATATCTTTCTGTGATCTTTTTGATGTAAAAAGCTTGATTCTTCTTCCAATATTTTACTTATAGTGAGGTAAGTGTAAGCAGTAGTCATAACTACCTCCTCACTAGGGTAACAGAGGCTTTGGCCTTTGGCCTTTTTGAAGCATATTTAATGCACTTCTTACCCGAGAACTACTACTAGGAGTGAAAGTATCTCTTTTAATAGCAGTCAACCATTTTTTACGAAGCTCGTCATTTTTGAGGAATATAAAAGCAGAAACCTTGGGACCCCCTCTATAATTCCCGTGACAATTTGGAACAAAGCATGTAAAAGGCATGCTACAATAAAATGTTGTTGTCAGTAACCATTATAAAGTACTATGCAGACTGGAGGTGAAGGCTTTTTACTCATTTAGGGGTAATATCTTGATAAATACTTCCAGTTCTTACCTTAAAATAATTAATAATAGAGGAGTACGACAAGCACAAAAGTTTGAAGTTCCCTATGTAGAATGTCTGGTTTGGATTTTTATTACACTGTTATTTTATCATAATTTTCTGATCACACCATGCACTGAACACTAAGAACTAAACAAACGTGTTTCAGAAGCACAACAAACTAGAGATAATTAATTATTTCAGGTATGCAATCGGAACGAGAAACCACTACCGGCTTTTCAGGTTAAAGGTAAACAATTTAATAATGCCTTAAGCCTTCGCCGCCATATTTGCCTTGCCCATATCACGTTGATTGACCTTGAGTTGAGGTGGTGCTGGTCAAATCAAATCGCAATGTTGCCAGTTGTTGGCTGGCGCACGAGCACGGTTCTGCAATGTGATTGGGCGTATTTTATATACGTCATCAATTGGCACTTTAAAATTATTTCAAATTAAAGCAATTTTGAGGGCCTATAAAAAATTATTCAATGTCATGAAACTATTTTTTTTGGATAAATATACTGAAAATAGTCTTCTATTTCAGATTTTGTCCTTGAATTGGGTATTTTATTTTTTATGAAAGAGCCCATTATTTCGCATGAATGATGAAATATGAAATAGTTCTGTCATAAGCAGTTTTATTGCTTATGGCCAATGCTTTACTAAAACATCTCAAGAGATATATTCAAGAAGTATGAAAATGCGATAAAACACGGCTTTTGACATTATCAAGTTGAGTGAAAAATGTGTAGTACCTATAAATAATCCAAGTTAATCCGTTTGAACGAATAACTATAAATAAATAAAGAATAATTTTAATTAAAGGGTATAAAGTATATAGTAAATAATATATATATATATATATATATATATATATATATATATATATATATATATATATATATATATATATATATATATATATATATATATATATATATATATATTATTAAATATGTCACTCACTAAAAATCGCCAGAAAATGTTTTTGATACTCGTTTACACTCAGGAATTTTTTGAAGTGGTGGAACAATATTAAAAAAATAAAAAAAATTGGAAAAATATCAACGAGATTAACCATTTTGGAACAAGAAAAAATGTTTATGAGGAATGCATTTTTCTCAAAATTTCAATAATAAAAAAGTTTTTCCTCTTGTAAAGACAATCCGGGAACGTACTGTAGAAATAAAGGTGTCTTAGACATATTTATACGGTAAATATAAATGTAGATAGGTTAGGATTTAGAATTAGATAACAATTTATAACAAAATTATTGAATAGGTGGTTCCATCTGACACCAACTAAAAAAACTAACTTGGTCGCGAAAAGACATGGTATTTTTTAAATGTTATGTTTTAAATATAACTAGGAAACTAAGTAGCTTACCAAATAATTTAGAGAATTCCATCTGGGAAATAGGTCTGCTGATCCTCGCCGAATTAAAATGAGCTCGAACAGTACCATACAACGCCTCGTATTGAGCAATTATTAACTTCAGTTGTTCCGAGGCAGTACCATTTATCACCTCCGGTAAGTTTTTGATCACTTGCATTAGCCTATCGATCCTCTCCGCCAAAAGTCGTAGCTCTTCAGCATCGTCTTTCTCAATGACAGCCACACTAAACTCCTTTATATCATCCTGTTGCTTTTTCAGCTTTTCCAGTATCTCCTTTGACACCGGTTTGATGATTTTCACCAAACACTTCTCGAAATTACCAATTAAGTTTGCGCGTCTCTCTTCGATGGTGTCGTCGTCTTCGATTTTCAGAGATCGCAAATCGGTTAGGTGATGATTAATTTCCTCTACCAGTTCTTTCAGTTTTTTCTCGTTATTTTCTTTCATGATCTCGTTGGTTATGGCTCTTAAACTCACGCATTTGTATTCCTTTTCGTTCAGTGCGTTTATTACGTCTTTGTTCTTCGATTTCTTCTTTAGAACGTTCATTTTTATGGTGTAATTCCGCACCTTTCGTTATGACACACTACTCACCAAAAGTGAGAGAAAATGCTTGCTAGTTCTTATCTGTTTCGTGATTAGATAAGGATATTTCTATTGCGGCTGTGTTAATCTAAAAATAATGTAACAAAATTAATAAACTATCCTGGAAAAATAACCTTAAAAAATACCGTATGATCGAAAAAAAAAATGGCGTCCAGTTGGCTTGGAAATGACGACTGATGACATTTCCAATATAATCTATATATATAAATCTGACTGTCCTGACTGATACTGACTCATCAACGCCCAGACCAAACCCTTGACCCTAGAAAGCTGAAATTTTGCACAGGGGTTCCTTTTATGATGTTTACGTAAGATAAGAAAGGATTTTTAAAAATTCATCCCCTAAGGGGGTAAAAAGGGGGGGTGGAATATTACAATATTTTTTATTTAAAAAACGGTCAAGTTTCCGAAAAAACGCTGAAACACGTATATTTTATTTTCTTTTTTTACATATTTTCAGATTTTTTAAAAATGTATACAGGGTGTTTCGAAAAATCTGGTCATTGATTAATCACGATCCTGCTTAAAGCGCTTGACGTAAAAAGCTGATTTTTGGAAAACGGATTGACTTTAGGGTGTAGAGGTTCGATAAGAAGGGATTTTTCGAAACTCGAATTCTAAGGGTGTGAAACCGCCCCTCAAATATTAGAATATTTTTTATTTAAAAAACGGTCAAGTTTCCGAAAAAACGCTTAAACACGTATATTTTATTTTCTTTTTTACATATTTTAAGATTTTTTAAAAATGTATACAGGGTGTTTCGAAAAATCTGGTCATTGATTAATCACGATCCTGCTTAAAGCGCTTGACGTAAAAAGCTGATTTTTGGAAAACGGATTGACTTTAGGGTGTAGAGGTTCGATAAGAAGGATTTTTCGAAACTCGAATTCTAAGGGGTGAAACCGCCCCTCAAATATTAGAATATTTTTATTTAAAAAACGGTCAAGTTTCCGAAAAAACGCTTGAACACGTATATTTTATTTTCTTTTTTTACATATTTTAAGATTTTTTAAAAATGTATATAGGGTGTTTCGAAAAATTGATTAATTGGTCATTGATTAATCACGATTCTGCTTAAAGCGCTTGACGTAAAAAGCTGATTTTTGGAAAACGGATTGACTTTAGGGTGTAGAGGTTCGATAAGAAGGGATTTTTCGAAACTCGAATTCTTGGGGGTGAAACCACCCCTCAAATATTAGAATATTTTTTATTTAAAAACCGGTGAGTTTTTCGGAAAAACTCTTAAACATGTATATTTTATTTTGTTGTTTTACATATTTTAAGGTTTTTTAAAAATTTATACAGGGTGTTTCATAAAATATAACCATTGAGTAATCACGATTCTACTTAAACTGCTTGACGTTTAAAGCTGATTTTTTGGCAAACGGATTGACTGTGGGGTGTAGAGGTTCGATAAAGAGGGGGTTTTCGAATTTCAAATTCCAAGCGGGTGAAAACGACCCACAAATATTACAATATTTGTTTTTTAAATACGGCGAGCCTTTCGGGAAAACACTTGGACACGCATAATTGATTTTGTTTTTTACATATTTTGAAATTTTTTAAAAAATCATACAGGGTGTTCCAAAAAGTTGGGTAATTGATTAATCACGATTCTGCTTAAACTGCTTGACGTAAAAAGCTTATTTTTGGCAAACGGATTTTCGAAAGTCAAATTCCAACGAGATGAAACTACCCCTCAAATATTATACCAAGTTATATAATAATATCGCCATATTGTTTTTTCTCATGCTGACATAAATGTAAGAAAATTTTATCTTAGTTTGTATGTTAATGGAAATTCTTGCTTTGCTTGATCATCACCATTACAAATGATTAATCCGACGCGAACGAAGTCGCGGGTACACACTAGTTTTACATATAAAATGACAGCAATCTTCATTTCATAGCCATCGCTGACGCCGTTTTTATCGATCATACGGTAATTTAGTAAAGTTAGATGCTTAAAGTAACCTTTAGCTCATGGCGTCACAGAAAATGAGTAAAGCGTTTTATATAATTTATATACCATCTAAGATTCGCTAGTGACATAGTCCTAATTGCTCAAAATGAATTTAGCAAAAATTAAAATAATGTACAGGGTGGGCCTAATTGGACGCTTTTAAAGGGAAACACCCTTTTCTATAGAAGATAGATGAAAACTAACATCGGTGTCTGGGGCTCAGTTTTTGTCAAAAACATGATGGTGAAAACCGCACGTCGATATCTGTTAGCGTTTCCAAGTAACCGTTTTTCAAGAATGTGCATTTTTAACAAATCGCTGTAATTTTTTTGTTATGAAAAATTTTGTATTTCTATGAAAATATTTCCAAAGCACCCTTTTACATAGAATTTAATGGTTTAAGTACAGTACGTCGGCTGGATCTGTGTCTATGAAAGGAATGCGGACAAAAAACATTTAAATAAACAGCAATATATTTTATACGTCGACTTGACGAGTACGTCACCCCAAATCGCTCCGCCCACTCATTTTATTGGCTACTTGCAAATTTGTCGAATTTTTATTGATGGGACGGGTCGTTTAATTTTTTACGAAAAACATCGAGAGAATATCGTTTCCCCTCTCACGGATACCCCGTAGTTACAGAACGGACAGACGTACTGTATAATTTATTTAAAATTAATAATTTATGAATTATCAACAGAAAATTTGATTTTTTATATGGGACACCCTGAATATTTTTAATTAATTGAAAATAATTTAAAATTACCTTTTCAAAAATATAGCACACTTGAAAATTTGCTCGATTCCTCTTCGAGATATAGAATTTATAAAATTTTGGAAAGATAATTTTAAGTTATTTTCAGTATAATTAAAAATATACAGGGTGTCCCAAATAAAAATCATTTTTTCTGTTGATAACTCTTAATTTATTAATTTGAAAAAAAATATACGTAGCCTACGCAAGTCTACGTAAAAAGGTTTTTTGGAAATGTTTTCATAGAAATACTAAATTTTCCGCAGCAAAAAAGTTACAGCAATTTGTTAAAAATTCACATTTTTGAACCTAACTTCGAAACAGTAAAAAAAAATAAACAGTATCGATGTGCGGTTTCCACCATCATATTTTTGATAAAATTTGAGCTTCAGACACCGATATTAGTTTTCGTCTATCTCCTAGAGAAAAGGGCGTCTCCCTTTAAAAGCGTCCAATTTAACCCATCCTGTACAATAAACTGGTAGACAGAAAAGACATTTTAATAAATAATACAAAACTCCGCCCAGACATATATCTCAGTAAAGTCTATCCAACAGTTCAGGAAAGGTTTCTACAGAAGACATCCAGAAATGACAAAAAATACTATTTCGTATGCATTAAAATGACATACTCAAATGTCATTGTCATGTATCTTCCCGTTAGACAGACTGTAGTTAATCATGTTACGGACTCTTAGCATATAAGGACACGTGAAAAAAAAAAGAAATAAAATATTTCAAAAATATTTAATAATAAAAAATACAAAACACAATTTAAAAATATTTCATATATTAATAGTGAATATTAAAAACAAGAAAACAAAATGTTTAAAAAAGTTAAAAATACAAATAATAATCTTATTACTGGTGGCCTCTCTCTGTATTATCAGATAAATGTGACGTCATAGTAGGCACCGAAATAAATGTTTTCTATTTATTACAGATCTTTTGTCTGTTGTACACATTTTGCGTCTGAATAATTCGAGCCTAAGCAAAAGTATTTTTTTGCACAAATTTTGAATCACTGGGTGTGCATTTTTTGCACACCCAGTCTCGCCAGACAGACACTAAAGTCTGTCTGGCGAGAGGGTAAATGACTGACAAGTGTTGTATGTCATTTCAATTTATAAGAAAACTGTATTTTCTGTTATTTTTTGATGACTTCTGTCAAATTTTTTCTTCATTAGCTAGACAGACTGTAGTTCGGAGTTTTTTTTGATAAAAAAAAACAAGGTCTTTGTCCGTCGTTGAACTTCCTGCAGTGACATATTTATGACCGTGAATTATTTAAATTATTATTTATAAACATAGAAAAAATAGTTTCGAAAGAAAATAAGACATTTTAAAAAAATATTTATATTTTTATATCGTAATACTGTAATAGTGTAGACCTTTCAATAAAAAGATTAAGGAAGCATTATCGAAAAAGACTAAAATAGTTGATTGTGTAGCTTGCGGTAGATCTCGGTCAAAAATCCCGGGAAATAATGGAATAACTTTTCGCCAGTAAGTGACTATACTAAGGGCTGGCAAAGGTTAGTCTTGGGTCGAGATTTCCCAAAGTTAAATAGTTTTAAAATTTAGGGAGAGGTGTACATCATGCGTTCAGCTTTACGATTTAATTACGTCTCGTGATACTTTATTTGTTTATTTATTAACGAGTCGTTGTAATTTTCCCTATAGCTTGAAATTTTTTAAGTGCAAGCTAGAAACACTTGCATTTTTGGTAAAAATAAGTGGAATTGAGTTGGTTTTCGACAGTGGTCGGGCTATTAAAACTCTGAATTCAAAAATCGATATCTCGAAATCTATTAGAAATAATTGATTGTAGTTTTTTCAAAAACTTTCTTAATATTTCTGCTGCATTTTCTTTGTAGACAGAAAGTGAAAATCGTTATCAATAAAAAAATTACACGACTGCTGAAAACTATGCTCTAAAAGTAAATAGATGGTTTGTTTACAATTTTTGAATGGAAAAAAATAACCTTATCGATTTTTTTCTTATGTAAACATATTGTAAAAGATACTATCTTCAAAATAAAAAAAAAAGTTTCAATATCTAAAGTGTTTCTTGAGTTATGGCGTGTTATGTGTTAAAAAGTTAAGTTTTTAAATTATCGCGAGTACTGACGTTTTCTCGTTATAAAAAAATGACACCTTAAAGATATCCTTATAATTCCATTTCAGATGCTCAGAAAAATTTCTAATGATTTTATCTAGTTATCTTTTCGAAAAAAAGTTTTTTCAAAATATGCGGTTTGCGATCGTGATTTTACTTTACTTGATAGGGACAGGCGTACCGGCAACGCCGCAACAGCACTCCGTCGCTTTTCTTTCAATCTAACTTA